GTGTTTTGTGTAACTAGTGAAGTACTAACAACTAAATACACATTAAACTATGAATTTATTACCTAGAATTGCAAGGATTCCTGGTGGCATAAAGATGGGTAAAAATATAACTAGATGATGCTGATGGTGGCACCAGTAAGGTAGAGAATATCTTGGGTTTTCCCTATATCTGGGCTTTTTGGGGCTGTTTGTTTCTCTGAAGTGTTCCAACTATTAGGGATGCACCAATAAAGATTTTTTGGCCGATACCGATGGGTGATAATTAACCAGCCATTTTGGCTGATACCGATTTGATTGCTGATATGCAGCCTGGCAGCTTGGAGAGCAGCATCCGGCTTGTAAATCTGTGGGAGGGAGAGGACATGGCGGGAGGGGTGCAGATTGAGGTCCTCACAAAGAGGGAAGGAGTAGGCAGGCACGTGGTGGGGCAGGGGCAGAGGCAGGTGCTGCCCAGCCGGGGTGCGGCAGGATGCGGGGCAAACTTGTGGGTGGGTGGCTTGTCCAGGGGGCACAGAGGTGGTAGGGATGGAGGGGGAAGCTCTCAGCTGCTGCACGCACCCCCAGGGGGGAGTGGCATATTATCCCTAGATTTGTGCATGGGGCGAGGGTGGGCTGGGGGCCAGGGGCTGCACTGGCCTCTTCTCAGCAAGGGCTGGGCTGGGGCTGCACTTGGGGCAAGTAGGGGTGGGGGCAGGTGGGGGCAATGGCAGTGCTGGGTGGCAATGGCAGTGCTGGGTGGGGCACCATGGGGTGGGCTACAGCCACCTCAACATTTGCTGTAGCCCCCTCACAGCCTCCCCTCCTAGTGTTTCTGCCGCCTCCCCTCCCCACCCGCCCTGGACGAGCCACCTGTGGGTCCACCCTATGCCCTACCCTACTTGTTCCCCAACAGGGAGGGCCTCGACCGGCCCCCCATCCCTTATTCCTCCCCCCCCACAGACTTACTAGCCAGATGCTGCTCTCCATGCTGCCCAGCTGTATTCCTGGCTGTGTGCATGCTGCCGCTGTGTGCATGCACACGGCATTTCTTGGTGACATTAATCAGGTACACCAGCCCCCAAAAAAGCCAATTGCTGATAATGTTAGTTTTCCTTGTATCAGTGCCAATCCGACATGGACTGATATACTGGTTCAGTTCAGTTCTACCCCGGTTAATATTTACATAGTGTGTCTGAAGCACTGGGGGGCGGGGGTGGACTAGACTGGTTGACAGAAAGAGAAATTCAAAATGAGGTTAAAGAAAATGAATCATGGGGAAGAGTGGGAAATTGGCAGTTTAGAAAAATGCTTGGGGACAGGAAACAGAAAAATAGAAAAGGACACAGAAGAAATGAAGTCCATGCTCCAGAAAGACTAACGACAGTGTCTCATTTTTCCTTACTGATTTTTAATGATGGTAATGTAAAACTAATAGTCTGAGTGCCAAAAAGCAAAAGATAAATTATAGTCTATCTATACAAACTAATCCAAATTAACCGATCCCCAGTTGCATCAGTACTACAGTAAGTAAAGAGGGTTTTCCAACTACAACATTTGTACTACATAGGCCAACAATTAACAAAATCAACTGTATCTTTAATTCAAAGCATAGCCTTCATATATATGGTTTCTTGCCAAGTTGTTCAGATACCAAGAGCAGTAAAAAAGCGAACAAAAAAACCCCCTTAAAATACCATATATAAAAAAAGACCATAACTTCAGGTACTGAAGAGCATGTTAGGTTCCCAGTCTATGCTCTCTGCTGCCACACAGTAAGCTGGATAACGTTCAATTTTTCCACCTTATTGAAGGATAAAGGGCTGAGCTGGGATATAAACTCCTCTTTCCAAAAGAAATAAATCAGTCAAATGCAACATTTATACAACACTTGGCTTGACCCTAAACTTCAGTGGGCATCATACCAAAAGGGCAGGAGGAATTTATAGAAATGAGAGGAATTTTAAATTTTTTATATATATATATATATCTATATCTATAGATATATAGATATATATCTATAGATATAGATAGTAATGAGTAAATTCTTATATTTGTCCATCTGAACGTGTATGTCAATAATATACTATAATATGATATATATTATATCATACTAACCAACTGCCCATCAGGAATGATGCGGGGGGCGGGGACAGAGTGCTGCCACCCACCACCCCATGCCGCTGCTGTCTCCCAGGAGCAGGGGGAGGGACCTTACCCTGCCATCCCCCTCGGCCAGCACCCTGTGCTTGCACCGCCTGCAGCGCTCCCCTGCTCCACCATCACGGAGGTGCTCTGCTGCACTGCTACCACTGCCTCCTATCCGGAACATTGTTGGAGCACTCTGACTGGTTGTTTCAGACAACCAATCAGAGAACGAATAAAGCATTACAGACAGACAGACAGACACACAGAGGCTTTTGTAATATTAGAATGGAGTTATCTGAATCTAGTTTTAAATGAATTCACATAAAACCCAAAGCATTTAATTGTACAACAAATTTCAGACACCAGTTTGAAGATAATGGATTACTCTAATCCTAAACATAGCTATTTAAAACCCATCAGGAGGTACAGTGAAAAAGGTATGCAGGCTATGCCTGTTTCCAGAAACCTCTGGTAAAAGCAACATCCACTTACTAGCAACATTGCCCCTGGGAATGCTTTCCTTCCTACGTAAGGAATGTCATCAAAGTACAACAGCCACAGCTGATTAAAGGCAATGTAGAACCTGCGTTCTGACACATTACTATTAACAGGCATTGACTGTGCTTTTTAAGCACGTCTAACCATTCCAATAAAGGCAACATTTAAATTTGTTTTGATTTAGACCACACCACAATCATGGCATGTTAAGTTGCAGTTACAAACTGCATCTCATGCTGCTGGCTGTATTGGACATGCCAAAGTGTTCCACTATGATTGATACAATAACAAAACTAGCAGTGTGGAGGGCAAAGACATGCACAGACAGCAAAGAGATTAATAAATAAATGTTGAATCCAGTGTAGTATTTACCTTAAAAGGTAATTATAGCTAAAGTCAAGACAAACCCCAACAGATCAAAAACAATTATTCAATACACCAAAATGTTAATATACAGACATATGCTGCTTATGTTTAATGGAAGTGTAACTAAGAGCCAAACAATTCACAGCTTAAAATTCTCTCTCAGAGTACTGAAAATCATAGGCCATGGATAGGAGTTCATTTCAACTTGTAAGAATTTCTGTACAATTTTTATGACATTTTTACCAGCAGAAAAGTGGCCCAGAGCTGAGCATACATGTGTTTCAGGCCTCTGGCTAGAGTTACACAGGTGAGCTCTCCAGCCAGGGGACACTAGAGGGCTGCTCCCTGGGCCATCCCCACCTTTAGGGGAACCCATTAATTGACACCCTGTCCTCTTCCCTGCCAGGAAGGGGGCAGGCTGGGTATTGCCCTCTGGGTTTTAAATCACCTCTCATGCAGCCAGAGGCATAGGGAAGCAGGACCAGAGACAGCTTCCTCAACGCCAGGTCCTAAACACCAGGTTCTAGCTTCCCAACTTTTAAATTGTGAGTAGTGCTCAGCTGCGCAGCATATGTGACATTTAAAGCCAGCTGGGATAGTTTCTCTGGCTCTGGTTCCCAGGCCCTGTGGTTTTGCAATCCCTAACTCTGCCACCCAGCTGGGTGGTACGGATGGTATTTAAAGCCCAGGAACCAGGAATGGACATGCATTCTCCCATGTCTGGAACCCTTCCAGGCTCCAAGAGGTTTCCCACCACAGAAGAAGAGCCCCTGCCCAGTGTTGGGGGGTTAGGCGTTTTTTTCCCC